ACCCTCGGATGAAGCGCTGCCCACACCGCAGGCACCGGTAGGGCCGCTCCCCGCTGTGGATGCGGCCGTGCTCGTTGAGGGTGAACCTGCGGCAGAACGCCTTGCCGCACTCGGTGCACGCGAAGGGCTTCTCCCCGGTGTGGAACTTCTGGTGCTGCAGTAGCCGGGAGCTGCGGCTGAAGGCCTTGCCGCACTCGCCGCACACGTAGGGCCGCTCGCGGGTGTGGACGCGGTGGTGGGCAGCCAGCTGCGTGCTCTGCCGGAAGGCCTTGCCGCACTCGCCGCACTGGAACGGCTTCTCCTCGGTGTGGATCAGCTGGTGCCGCAGCAGGATGGAGCTCTGCTTGAAGGCCTTCCCGCACTCCGTGCACTGGAAGGGCTTGGCGCCGGTGTGGATGACCTGGTGCCTGAGCAGCAGTGAGTTGTATCTGAACGCCTTGCCGCACACGCACCTGTAGCGGGGGTCTGAGCTCCCCACGGGCCGGCCCGGGTCTTCCTGCAGAACCCTTGGGGAGGCGCTGCGCTCCCGAGCCCGGGGGCGGGTGAGTTTATCTGACCCGTCCTCAGGACTGCCACGTGGGTGGGGTGGTGCGGGGTGCCCCCCGGGGAGGCACCCCCACACGGTGCCCGGCAGTCCTGCCTGCCTGGAGAGCTTTCTCTGCAGAGGAGACTCCATGATCCCGGCCTCCATCCTGGAATCTGAGAGAAGGAACAGAAAACGGAAGGATGATCCAGCCTCTACATGCAAATGAACTTATTGTTGGAAGAACCTTTTTATTCCCAAGTCTTCCCCCAACACCCAGCTTTACTGAGGTATAAATGACAAATAAAACTTGTATACAGGAGGCTGATGCAGGAGAATTGCTTCAACCCGGGATACAGAGGTTATAGCGAGCTGAGATCAAGCCACAGCACTCCAGCCTGGGCCAAAGAGTGAGACTATGTCTTAAAACAAAACAAACCTTGTATGTATTTTTTGTGTACAACATGATTCAATAAACATGTACACTGTGACACGATAACACAATCAGGTGAAGACAAGACTCTTTGTTAGATGTGCAGGGAGGTTTGAGAAATTATTGCCAGAGGTTTTAAAATCAGGGTTTCAGGCCAGGCGCGGTGGCTCACGCCTCTAATCTCAGCACTTCGGGAGGCCGAGGTGGGCTGATCACCTGAGGTCACGAGTTCGAAACCAGCCTGGCCAACACAGTGAAACCCCATCTATACTAAAAATACGAAAATTAGCTGGGTGCGGCGGCGGGTGCCTGTAATCCCAGCTACTCAGGAGGCTGAGGCAGGAGAATTGTTTGAACCCGGGAGGTGGAGGTTGCAGTGAGCCAAGACCGCACCACTGCACTCCAGCCTGGGTGACAAGAGCAAAACTCCATCTCAAAAAAATAATAATAATAAAAATAAAATGAGGGTTCGGGTGAGAAGGGAACAAAAAGGTTAATAATGGCTCCAGCACTGTGGGAGGCTGGCTCATGGGGAGCCCATAGGAGAAGCCCAAGGTCTGGCAGGGAAGACAGGCCAGGCATGAGGTGCATGTTGCACCTCACTCCACAGCCACGTTCTTTACTCCTCTCTCCTTCAGAGTTCACCACAGTTCATTCACTCAGCAAACATGTCTGGGCAGGTGCGTAAAGCAGGTGCCTGCACAGACCGCCAGGACTGAGGGCCTCCTCCCCAGCTCAAGGTTCTTTCTGCAGCCTCCACTGCCCTGAGCTCAGTCCCTGGCACATGGGCCATGGGAAACTGGGAAAACCAAAGCAACCTGTGGGCGGCAAACCTCCCAGATGCCAAGGCAAGAGACCAAGGGCACAAGCTGTTCCAGTATAATAAAGAAAATATATATAATAAGAATAGTTATACTAGAAACAGATTTTAAATATGATGATAAATGAATATTATTAGTCATCAGTTTGTAGCATTACTCTTTATTCTAACATTATAATAATCTCTGTTCTGGCC